TTTAAATATTTTTAAATCGTATAAGATTTCTAAATCCATTAAAATACATGAATCAATAATTTGAAAATCGAATGTTAATGATTAACCATAAAAGTTATAAAAAGTATTAATCTATTATGGGCCTAAAACAAGTGAAGTCCACTACTTTTTAGTATAGCGCAATAACAATTACTAAGTCACGTGATCATTTATAACATTCACGTGGTAAGTTTCCTTTTAATTGGGTCAATTTTCGAAAAAAATTGTGATCATCCAGAGACCAGAGTAACGTTCAGACTTCAGATTTGCTCTGAACTTTAATAAAAACTTTTTGGACGATAAATGATATATACTGATATGCTTGTGTTATCTCGAATTGTCGATACCTACTTATAACTCTCATCAGTCCAACCCAATATACTCTCCATGTTGAATTTGAATTTCACTATTCAAAAATGTTACGAGAAAGTAAAAAAAGATTTTGGCACGAACAAAAGAAGGGATTTTGGACGTCGGAATTAACAATAGATACGAGATGTTATTAGTAGTAGTCTACTTGGGCCATTGGAGGTCGTTTCTTACCAGCTTAATTAAGTAAATTAATGAAGCCCATATAACGACGGAAAAGCCTAACATGAATATAGAAGTAACGGTTCACATGTAAGTGCGTGATTGTTATACATCGGCAATGTAGCATGTGGTGAAGAGACTAAAACATGACTATATAAGTTTCCCACAAAGTACATTCTAATAATTATCTGAATCAAATTACTCAAACGTCTTATCAATGCTTGTGTTATGGTTTCGTTGTAAGTACTTAAACATTTGTATGGCAATTAGATTATCGAGTACAAATTGCTCTGTTCATAACTTCATATGGTCCACTACAAATTGCACCGTTTCTCCCACATTTATCTGATTATGAATAGGAATATAACCGTTTTGTGCACATTTATATATTCGTAATGGCAACTAACTATCTACGTGTAAACCACTCTTCGTAGTTTTTTCTTTTTTATTGTCTACATATTTTATTGGACATTTTCTCAACTTTTCTCAAAAGAAAATTGGGGATTATGGGCCACAATTTCAACACTTCACTTAGTTCAATTTGGTTTTACGGTTATTTAAGGATTTCTAATTAGAGTGGTTTCTTGTAAAACTCTATGAGGACTTCTGCCTCAATTAAATTAAGGGTTAATTTGGTTAATAACAACAAAAAAAATTAAAACATAAAAACTAACCAAAAGTCCGAAAATTAGTGGGTATGATTTATGCCACATAGAATGTTTTGCATAGATATTATATTTCTTTTTTTTTTCTTGGTTATATTAACCAATTTCCCTTAAATTAAAGCATATGAAAAGTATGAT